ATGATTATATGGGATTTTCTCCTTTTCTCTCATATATATATATATATATATATGATCATATGGGATTTTTCCTTTCGTTTTAATAATGCGTTTTTCTTCTGATCTTTTGACATATATTAAAGAGTGTTATTTCCAAGTGGTGAATTAAAGAATATCACTCAAGTATTTTTTCTAGAATATGTTATACTATAAGAGATGGGAATAATCCAAATAGCCATTTCTTGTCCTATAAATACTTGCGTTTTTTTCTTGAAAAAAACAAAATATTATTAAGCTTTCAAACTATCATCTTCTCCTACTTATCAACGTCAAAACTGTAACAAAGAGCAATGGAAGTAGCGCAGTACGAGAGCGATGCATCAGATGGAGAAATTATTCAAGAACAACGTGCAGTAAAAGAAAAAAAACGCCGCCGTGGAAAGAAGAAAACCAAGTTTTGGATTATAGAAGAAACATTTGATAATGCTGGTGAAGTAGAAGCATCGATTAAAAATGAATGGACCAAGCATTATACAAATCACACTCAAGATGTAATTGGTCAATCGATTGTGATTCGTCATCAGTAAATTCAAAACAATTTGCTATAGAACCAACAATTACTTTACAGTTGTGGACTTCATCCTACCAATGGGCAAAGTCAAATAAAAATATAACTTGTATTTCAAGTGATTCTACGAAAATTTATTATATACCAGCTCATGACTTACAATCGTTTTCTCAAGCTGACTTGAATAGATGTAAAAAACAAAAGTTCACAGCTTTCAATCAATTCAAGAAATCATTCGACATCTGGTGTTTGAAAATGGAAAATGATTCACATTGGAAAACATCGAAATGTAACTGTCCAGCTTTTATGAAGAACTTTATATGTAAGCACGTTGTCGGTATGAGTATACGATTAAAATATTGCAAACCACCAGCGGCTGCAAAGACAATTCTAACTGGCGAAAAGAGAAAACGTGGTCAACCATCAAAAGCTAGGCCCGCCTTGTTCGTGCAGTGATTCGATGTTCGCTCTCTTTATTAACATTGATTCATAAATTTCTACTGATAAAATATTTTTTCTACTGTCCAAAAATCTATTTTGTACTGACCAAATTTCTTTTTTCTACTGATATAAATCATATATTTTTACTGTTACTTACAGCAAATAAACTGACCACTTCATAAATATCTACTGCAATTTTCAATACTGATCAATCAGTATATTTACTGACCATTTCCATATTTTTTACTGACCACTTCAGTTATTTTACTGACCGTTTAATATATTCCCCAAGAAAAACACCTAATGATATATTTACTAATCCAAGTACTAATACAATTGAACCTAGAATACAATGAACAATATGCCAAGCACCTTCATCAGTCCATGTATCTTGATGAAATCCTTCTTGACTAAGTTTATGACTTGATTCACTAAGACCTGTCTCTATTATCTGCACGTCTCAGGGATGGGCAAGTCAGACGTTTTCACAAGTCAAGTCAAGTCAAGTCATTTGTCGCGAAAACCAAGTCAGGTCGCAAAACATTTTAAGTCAAGGCAAGTCAAGTCATGTTTCAAGTCAAAATTCATTATAAAAAATCCTTTTATTTTATTTTTTTTGGAAAACAATGATTTCAAATTTCTTAGAAAAATATCTTTGAATTTGATGCTAGGTTTTGAGAAGCAGTTATTGAGGCGATAGATGGTAATCCTCCTGATATCAAAAGACCGCCGGACAATCTTTTTTGCGGGAATTGTGTGTATTTAGACAGGAGTTTTAGCAAAATTTCGACGGATCATAATAGAAGACCCGGGGTCTTTTATTACACAGAGAGGTTTACTGCTTCTTCTATCTCGATT